TAGATAGATAGATAGATAGATAGATAGATAGATAGATAGATAGATAGATAGATAGATAGATAGATAGAGGGGGGGGGATTTAGCCAAGGATTGCGATTCAGCCGGGTGGCGATCCTCTCGGCGACGGAAGAGAGAGTCTCGGGCGTGTCACACCGCCTGAAAACGTCAAGCTCCCGAGCATCCCCGCGTGTCTCTCCCTCCCTCCTCTTGTTTTTCGGGACCGATGAGTGAACCGCTGGAACGGAGCTGGCCTGCCGGGGGGAGGGTGGGTGTAAAGGAAACAGCCCGGCATGAATGAATGAATGAATGAATGAAGTAGAACCCGGAGGTGGCGGGAGGGAGGAGCGCGCCATCCGCAGGAACAGCCGCGGGCGGGGGGGGGGGGGGAAGAGAGAGTCAGAGAGAGAGGCGAGAGAGACGCTGGTCACGGGGTGGGGACAAACGACAAGGAGGAAGGACCCGCCGTCGCCATTGGTGCCCATCGCTGCCCGTCAGAGCGCCCCCCCACCACTTCGACATTCCATTTCCTGCCGCTCGGCGGAGCCCCCGAGGAAGTGGCCCACGCCGGGCTGAGGCCACCGCCGCCCAAGAGCTGGAGCAGCATCTAAGCCCGCCTCCCCCCCTCCCTCGGCTCTGCGCTCCCGGCTTCTCCTTCTCCTCCGCCGTCTCCTTCTCCAGCGCATCTCTGAAGCCGGCGGCTCCGCCATGGCCTGGCTGTGGAAGCGCGGGGGGTGAACGGAGAAGGGGTCTCCAGGAGCCCCGACGCCGGCTTCCCACTCGCCCGCCCCCCCGAAAGCGGGGCACGCAGCCAGGTATGTAAAAGCCGGGCGGGGGTGGGTGGGGGGGGTGCGTGGGGTTTGGACTTCAACTCCCATCATTCCCTAAGAATAGGGGTGGGGGGGCTAGGGGGGTTGTAATCAGAAGGGACGTAGGCTGGATTGCCACATTCCGGCCATTGGATGTTTCTAGACTCCGGAATTGATCGCCATATGACACTCCCCTCCCTCCCCGCCTTGGATCTTAGCCGGACGTTGCTTGGCATACATGCTCTCTGCCTGTATCCAGGGATAATAAGTCAGCTGTGCTCTCTTCTCCCTCCAGGTCCACCCAGTTGTGTATTTTTGGGGTTCCAAGGCCTGCTGCTGCTCCCCCTCTCCCCTTTTGCAGGGTAGGGATCTAGGTCAGTAGTTGAGAAAAGCAGAAGAGGGTGGGAGGGAAGGTTGCAGTGGGGTTCCTGGAGGTTTATTGGGGGGGGGGGAGATCTGGAAGGAGGAATCGTGGGGCGACTTGTGGGGGGGGTTGGCGGTGATGGAAGCAGCAAAACCCCAGTTCCAGTGGGGGCTTCTCTTTAAGGTGGGCAGGCAGCCGAGAAGAAGTCTTAGGAGGGAGGGAGGTCTTGGAAGTCACAAGGACTAGAAAGTTAAAAATAAATTAAAATAGGGAAATTTGAGAAGGGGGGGTTGTGAAACAGTAATGAGATGGAATTGGGAGGCGAGAAAAGAGGTTGAAGTGACGGGGTGGGGGGTGGGGGTTGTTCTGGAAAACTAGGTTGGTATAATGCAGCTCAAGACCTGGAAAATAATATTTGCATCATGTTCAAGTGAGTTTCTTGCAGTTTGTGGCATAGAAGGAGCTGAGTGCATTGATTACGAAAAGATAAACATCCCGTGAGTGTGTTTGGGATGGGCGAGTTATTGTGGTTCTGGGCTGGCTTTTGGGCAAGGCTTTGCGAATGGCCTCTGGTTTTCTTCAGTGGTTTCTCTTTTCCTTTAATGGTGATCCTGAGCAACCAAGGGCCCTGAATTCTTGCAAAAGCCTTAACTGGGATGGCATTGATCAACCCCATTTTATCGACTGAAAAATCCTATTTGGAAGACCAATTTGCCTTGGCTTACCTGGGATTTTAAACCTAAGGCTCTTGAATTTTGACAGACGTGTCTAATGAGGAAGTTTTTGGAGCCGTGTTGTGTAGTAGCTAGATATTTCCTGGAAAGATGGAGTGTTGTGCAATGCTAAAATTAAAGCAATGTATATGGGCTTCGCTGTGCTACTTTGGAGTCTTGCAACATCCAGCATTAGAAGGGGTAATTGGTTTTTTTAAAAAAACGTGCTAATAAAAATATCCATAGCAATCATGAGGGAGCAATAAGAATACTCTTCTAATAATGGGAAAGTAATAAGTACCCTCATTATTACTTACATGCCGCTTTGGGGGGAATTTGAAGTATTTTATGTGTTTCAGCCACCCTTACAAGATCCTTACTAGATAAAAAGCCCCCCAGTGCAGGGAAATCTAAGGCTCCTAGCTGAAGGATTGCTCAAGACTGCCTCTGAGTAGGAATGTAAGATCTTTACATGTGAGTAAAAGTGTTGCAAGAGTTGAATTAAGGCCCTCCTGGATTTTCCGGTGACTTAATGGACTGGATGCCTTTCAGAGAGGACAAATAAGGAAGGTAGCTGGAGAATCAATTTGGTAGGAGGGTTAAGACACCAGGCTACAAACTGGGAGTCCATGAGTTCTAGTCTTATCTTAGGCACAAGGGCTTAGGCACATGAGTTCTAGTCTTATCTTAGGCACAAGAGTTTAGCTCAAGACGTTGGGCTAAACTCGTTCTTTCTCAGCCCCCAGGAAGAAAGAAAGCGGCAGTTGCAAAGCTACTGGGATTTCCGAAAGCATTGGCAAGAAAACTGCAGGGACTTGTCCAGACAGTTCGCAGGAGTCAACAGTGACTCGAAGGCATTGAAAAAAAAATAGAGAGAGATGGGCGATACAGAAGAGAAAGCATGTCTAGACCACTGTTGCTCAACCATGGCTGGCTGAGGAATTCTGGGAGTTGAAGTCCACATATCTTAAGGCCACCGAGTTCATTTATGTAGGAGAGGAGCATAGGTAAGTCCTTGACTTACGACTACAATTGAGCCCAAATTTTCTGTTGCTTAATGAGATATGTGTTAAGTGGGCTTTGCCCCATTTTACAACCTTTCTTGCCAGAGTTGTTAAGTGAATCCCTGCAGTTAACAACATGGTTGTTAAGTGAATTTGGCTGCCCTATTGATTTTGCTTGTCAGAAGGCTGCAAAAGGTGACTCTGGGACACTTCAACTTTCATAAATATGAAACAGTGGCCAAGCCTCTGAATTTTGACTATGGAGATGGTGCAATGGTCATAAGTATGAAAAACGGTCATAAGTCCATTTTTCCAGTGCCATTGTAACTTTGAATGGTCGCTAAAAGTACTCTTGTAAGTTGAGGACTACCTCTCTACTTCCCACTATTTGCAATATAAAAGTTTTAAATGAGGACATGGAGTCCTCCACTTAACAACCATTTGTTTAGTGACAGTTCCTCACACTTACAACCGGGTCACGGGATCAAAATTCAAGAACATGGCAACCAGCATGCATTTAACCATAGTTGAAGCACCCTGGGGTTACGTGATCGTCATTTGAGACCAAACAACCGCAGTGATTTGCCTAACCATCATGGTAAAGAAAATGGTCATAAAATCGAGCCAAGACTCATTTAACAATCGTTTAGCAGTCGAAATTCCGTTCCCGATCGTAGTCGTAAGTCGAGGATTATAATGGCCTTATCATTGCTCTTAGGTGGACACAATTAAATCCACTTTTCCTTTTGCGGTTGCAGTGGAAGGCCAGTAGAATATGGCATCTGTTGCACAGCGATGGGGCAAGACCCCACCCCTTTGGCAAGTTTACGAGATTGTAATTTAAATTTGTGCAGCTGACTATGCCAAATTGCTCTAAATGCTATTCTCGATTAGACAACTTGATTATATTCGTGCATTGTGATCCGTCATTTTTAATTAAGTTCTGATGAATAAACCATAATAGACTGGCTTCTCACAGCATGCAGTACTTAATATAACTTTTAAACCATAATGGGGTTTGCTTGGATATGGCTGAGTACGTGATGTATAAACCATTTTAATGTAGTCTGTTAGCTGAGCCAAACATGGGTTTTCAAATTACGATTGAGCAAACTGAGGGTCAGTATATTGTTCCTTTATCAAAACTTAGTTATTAATTGAGATGGTGGCCTATGACGCTATCCTTGCCATTTCTATTCCTCTTAGTAACCTACAAGAGAGGATGGAATGCTTCTGAACCTTACCAGATGATCTGTAATCTGGAATGAGATCAGAATGTTACCTAAGTGACTGGTTCAGAATCAATAGATGGAGATACAATTAACAAATAAAAGCAGTATTCCAAACAGTGTAGTAGGGTCATGCCCTTATTGAGCATGTTAAGCAAACATTCACTGTGTTTGGAAAAAGGATAGGTAACCAGGTCACAACAATGATCCCAACACACACAAATAGACCAGTTGAACGACCGAAGTAGGAGGACATTTTACATTTTGGAACCTCAATTATTACAGCTTAAGTGAAGCGCACCGTCACAGGACTATGGATCATGGTTAGTTGTAAAAAGTTCACAACAAAGTTTTATCCCTGTAATGGTGGGAACTGGGTTTTGCTTCTGGTAGTTTTCTGAAAGAGTAGTGTTGTTGTTAGTTGCGAAGTCATGTCCGACCCATTGTGACCCCATGGACAATGTTCATCCAGGCCTTCCTGTCCTCTATCATCCTCTTTAAGTTTATTTAAGCTCACGTCTACTGCTTCAGTGACTCCATCCAGCCACCTCATTCTCTGTCATCCCTTTCTTCTTTTGCCCTCCATCTTTCCCAGCATTATGCTCTTCTCCAGTGAGTCCTTCGTTCTCATTAGGTGGCCAAAGTATTTGAGTTTCATCTTCAGGATCTGGCCTAAAAATTTTTGGAAAAGGATCAAAAA